TATATATATATATATAATCTTTTTGAGCCCCTACCAACCATGGACTCTAAGCCGTTACACCTTCAAACTATGTCCAAGACCAATGTTGCTCATAAGTTAAACTCCCCGTCGTGAGTTTTTTATATCATAGAATTGAACTATGTTATGTAGTACTTTGTAAATAATTTTAAATTAATTTATCTCGATATGTATGCCCCTAACTCATGTCCATGATTAGAAACTTTACTATTAAACCTTCAATTATATTATCTTCACCTTATACTATTAAACCTTCAATTATATTATCTTCACCTTATAGTACTCTGCTACTTTCATTTTAAGTTGTATAACTTTTCCATAACTTACAAATTGTAACTAGATAAAATCAATCATACTTCCTACAAAGTTTATGCACTTTCCTTCTTTAAGACTCTTGGAACAGATCTTGTCACCTTAACACGAAATGAAACCTGCACATAACTTGGATTATTAGGTATCATAAGTCACCATTCAAAATAAATTACAAATACTCTGGCAAGTATAACTTATAACATGCATACAATATTATATGTAAGCCATCGAACATAAATATTTGTCTTTAACAAATGAGAAGAGAAACATAACTTGAATAATTTTTGTGCACCTCCCACAAGTATTTAAATAAAATTAAGTGAAATTTTGGCATTGATAAAAATTAAAATAAATTAATATTTTAAATTTAAATAATTGTGAGATAAAAGTATATATAAGTAACACTACTCAATGAGATAAAACCATCCAACTATTAATGTGCAACTTTTATAGTATGAGTCTCATTAGTTGATCAAACAAATGTAGAGCCTTTGTCATAGGTTGATCAATGGCATCTCATATACCTAATACAGTTTCTAGAAGATGCAAATGTGTAATATGAATACGACAATCAATTTTTAAGACCTTTTAACTCACCTTCTTAGAACCAAATTGAATAACATCAGATGGACGAATGCGAGTAGGATAATCATAAGGTACTCGATACTGCTTTCCTTCATTGCTGAAAACATAACGAGAATGATATTAAATGAATTTTTCAAATACTTAAATCTTTTCTAAGTAAACAAAGTACCTTTCATTTTTTTTTTACTTACTTAATGATCCAAGTGCCATGTTCACTTCGCAAATCAGTTAAGAAAAAGGCACCATCCTTATAATTAATTCGAGCATGCTTGGGAGAAACCTTAAAATGAGAAAATATTAATTATGTTGCATGATGTCGAAGTATATCAAGTGTGGAACCATGTTTGATTTAGGTCATCATAAAATTTCTACCTGGGGTGAAGGTATTATAATGGAATTGCTTTGATGATCTTGTAGTGGTTCACTCCTGCAATTATAGAAACATATATGAAAATAGGTTGAAAGTGAAAAATACATTATATTTAAAATAATTAGGAATGGAACTACAAACCACTAATTGATCGATGACCAAAAATCGTGATCATTCTCATGTTTCAAAGGTACATCCAAAAATAGTTACAAATTAATATTTGCAAATTATGAGTATAATCTAAGAGCTATTTTGTCATTGCATTGTAGGTAAGTGTAGCAATATGCATACCCAATTATGAATGATTTTGCATCATTTCGACTTAAAGTTATAGGCTTTGAAAATTTTGTTCCATCTCCACGTGGTAACAAAATCCACCTACAATTGAAATAAAAAGGGTGGACATAAAAGTTACGTGATCTACATTTGCGATAAGAAATATATAAAGAATGACACTCCTAAATATTTGGTCACAGACATACTCTCCATTTATGGCACGTTCAAGTGCTTCATCATTTTTAAACCATCTATGTAACTGGTCATTTGCCTTCATAAATAATAAAATATTTATCAACATTTAGATCATAAGAAATTTAATATATATCAACATATAAATTACTAGACATACAATATCTTCTCAGCAACGCAATACAAAATTAACATATTATTTGAGCAACGTACTTTATCTGTTAGCCTGCAACTTAGTGGTCTACCCTCAAGTTTGGAACTGCAAATGGAGCATCGTGTTTCAAGTGGTAAGTAAAGAAATTGCACAACTTTACACAACTACATTGATGATGATACATAATATTTTTGCCTTATTGGAAATAAGTAAAAAAAACTAAATATTGTTATCAATATTGTTAGTTTCTTGAACTTCTCATCATTTTTCCGTTATAGCAAGTTTCAAATTGCATGTTGAATGATACGGCCAAAGTAAGAACAATAAAAAAGTATATGACCAAAGAAAAGTGGGCTTTAAACATTACCTATTTCCAGCTATGACCCAATTCAACAAAAAAGACATCATTGTGTCAACAAAACACCTTCCTCCAAATATTCCCGGATGTGGTATCCGAAACTTAGTCAAAAACTACAAAATATGGGAAGTAATAATGAATTTATGTAACTCATTATTTCAATTTGAAATGTTTACCTTACTATATTTTTTCATTCTCGTATTGACAAAATTTAAATTCTTACCTCTAAAGGGCCAAGACCAACATATAGATATCTCTTGTAAATTGAAGCCATAAATGCAGCCATTCTGGCCATTCCGTGAATAATGGCAACCCGTAGTCTTCTTTCTCTCTCGTAGCTAGAAGCATTAGTGGAAATGGGGACAAAAGATGAATATCATTAATCACCAAAGATATTTATCACCAAATTTACAAATTTTAAAAAAGATGAAACATTATTAGACCATGTTGATATGACAAACCATCTCTTTGTTGAAATCAAGTTAATAATATTAATATTTCGTTTTGCATGAATGCAAAATGCTATGTTACCTCCTTAAGGAAGAATCGATGTCAATTGGACTCCTTGATTTAATACTTCGTTCCCATGCATTGGACAACTCCCATGCAAGTTGATAACTATCCTAAAAGGACAAAACAATCTTGTTAGAAAGGGCTTTTGCCTCACTTTTGAGTGTTTCATTGAGTACCAATTCCTTTTAAGGCTCTGACAAAAGTCTAGAGATGAAAATAAAATTGTTTATTTCAAAATCTCATAAAAAAAATAGTATATTGATTAAAGTAAAAAGCTAAGAAAAAGTATATGAAACACAAAGTCCGAAAAATCAATGATAACTTATGTGTATTAGGTATGTATGAGCGATAAAGGGAGAATGTGACAAATAGAAGCCCCTATCATGTTTCTTATTATGAGTAATATAATTTTTATGTAAAACAAAAATAACATCTACAACAATCATTATTTATGGTACAATAAGTTTGTACTTTTTGGACTAACACATAAAAATTTAGAACATAATGTTTAATTTTATTTTGTAGGTAAGATGACACACATGGCTATAAAGAAAATGAGAGATATCTAAATCATAGATGAAATTTATGACTTGAAATAACATTATGCTCACTTGGATAAATCATAAATGTATGAACATATAATATTTAAAATAATATTTTTTTTATTTATCTAGTATAATTCCCCCTTAATTAGTTAACTCTTGGTCTGGGTAAGTAGGAAATTGATATAAGTAATATAAAACTCATAATAATTTCATAATTCATTGAGAAAGGATGAATAAACAAAAATACCAGATAAAGAGAATATTTACCTCAATAGCCATGCATCCTCCTTGTCCCATATTTGGCTGCATGGCATGGATGGAATCTCCAAGCAAAGTCACACGACCCTTTCCCCACGTCAATGTTGGTATCCTGTCATATATGTCTCTTCGTAGAATTGCTTCTTCTTTTGTGTCAAGTATCAAATCTACAACATTATCACACCAATCTTCAAATATATTAAGTAGTCTTTCCTTTTTTCCTGCCATGTAGAAAGAACTATGAAATTAAACATAATGATTTAACCTTTTCTCCTTATAGAAATGGAAGAAAATATATTCATTTTTATTTATATTTTTTCAAGGCTGTCCAATTTCTCCATTTCCAATGCTAAATTAATATCATAAAACCTAGGCTATTTGATTAGCATCTTTACACCATAATACTAACTTTATATAAATAATCCATGTCTAGGAACATGGGTGAAAACTCAACAATAAAAGAAAATGAATCATACATAGAATCGACAAGTGACATTTAAGTCCATATTTAATTTTAACAAAAATAATTCATTAGATAATTTCAAGTAGATATTGTGTTAACTACTATGATGCACAAATACAAATTAAATATGAAACAAGTCTGATTTAGTGATACAATATTTATTATAGGATAAAACAAGATATACATATATGTGTGTAAAGTTTATTGAATATGATATATATATATATAATTTTACAAATTCAAACTAAGAACACACTTTTTGTACATTTCAAAAAATAAAAAGAAATTATAAATCACAGTCATTACAAATCACATCCTATTATCTACAAAATAAGTAGTTTCAATCTCATTCCACCTAAAGAGGACACCTTCCATGTCTAGTTCACCAAAGAGACTATGTTTTATTTCTCACACCTACTAGCAAATTACAAAGAGAAAAAACCCATGTGACCTACTTTATAATTAAAGGAGATGTGTTTGAGTGTTATTGTGCAAGCAATTAATATAAGTATAATTATGTATCAATCTAGCCTTTTAGTTGCATAATTTGATTATTTTGAAGTATTCTACTGTTCGTGTATGTAAATTGATGGATTGGAGAAAAAAATACGAAATTGCAAGTTGTAGAGTTTTTATTCGTGAAAATGACGTTAAACATCATTTTCGACACTAAGCATCATGGTAGTAGAAAGCTAGACTTGTTGTCTGTGACCCTCAGGCTAAGCGTGAGTTTCATGTTGAGTGTGACTTAAACTGAGCCTAAGTTTCACGTTGAGAGTGGCTTAACCAGAGAGAAAAAGGTTGTTCTCTAAAAGTTTTGTGTTGAGCATTAGATTTGACACTGAGCGTCCCTATGGTTTTGATTTGTTTTTTCTTTATCTATGTTCCTTGAATTCCAATGATGTAATGTAAATCCTCACGTTACTTAATGTCAATGCTTAATGAAGCGAGTATGTATATTAATGGCATGATTGATAATAATTGATAGAATGGATGATATGGATGATTCTTGTGTTAAATATGGATGTCCTTAAATATATTGATTGAATGAGATACTTGAATTGTGTATGAAAAATATAATATATGGTGAATTGTTATGAATGATAAATAGTATGCATGACAAATCATATGTATGAAAAATCACTGAGTATGTGTAGTGCATTATGATATGTTAGAGAGTCAATTGTGACATGCATCATATACACATAAATCGGCAAATCATTATATGTGCATTGAGCATATCTTGTTATAGACACCACATGCATACAAATCAAGATTCCATATCTATTGCATTTCATATTGCATATAATTGTCTATTATTCTTGAGAGTGTTTGTATGATGTGTTAAGAATGAATTATGAATTATTTACATTGCAACCATGTGGAATGTGTGTCTATTTGTAAAGTGCTTATTTTATAAATGCCATGTTGTGTGGTTATCTATCTTTAATCTCAAGCCATGAGGTAGTGTGAGAAGTTTCTCACTCCCCTTGTTTCCATGTCTTTGTTATAATTTATATTATTGTAAGTAATGCTCATCATGATATTGATGATGCCAAGGATGAGATTTAGACCTTGTGTTGGGAATGCTTTGACAAGATATGTGACATCGGGCCTTAGACTAAGATTACTTTCTACATTATGTTTTTAATAGGTCTCATGTTCATATTTGAATTTCCACAATTTGTGATTTTGTTTTGAGAGATTGTTATGTGACTCTCTTTACCTATGTTGGATTTTATATTTGGTTAATTATGCATGGAATAATTTTTAATTTTATATCCATTATTTTGTTAAATATACATTATACGTGTATGTAGGGTAGATGATGTCACAACTAATTACCTTATTCTTGTACATCATCAATAGTTTACAAAATTTAGACACAATGAAGGGCTTGTTTTTTCATTCCTTTTCCTCTGGAAATTGACAAAGGTAGCATGGATGAACCTTTGAGAACGAGTGTTAATCCTCTTCCTCCACCCCTAATCATTGCCACATCGTCATCACAACATAGTGGAGACACCCTCCCACCATTGATGATGTCATTGTAGCATCTACATGAGCTTTGTTGTTGTACCAACATTAATGCCTCCATGAAAACCCTTCATCATTTCTTCTTTTGCAGTGCCTTCTAGCTTAGTATTTAATAGGCTAGTTTCTTCAACGATGTCAAGAGCATATTTCATCCAAGAGATTATTAGACCACTTTTGGATTGAGTAACTTCAATACCCAAGAAATACCTAAGCATACCAGTGTCTTTAGTCTTGAACTAATTAGAGAGGTACTTTTACGTGAATAATGCTATGATGATTATTTCTTCTTATAACAATATCATCCATTTATATAATGAGGTAGAAACATCCTTGAGGCGAATGTGATGAAAGAAAAAGTGGTTAGCTTCACTATGAATCATAGCAAACTATTTTATAATATATACTATTAAAAATATATCACTATAAGGCTCTAGATACCATGTTGAAAGTAAAAGAGTAGATGCATAAAAGATGAGTTGAACTATGTGTTTTACTACACCACAAGATAGGTTTATATAGATGTTCAATTCATTCAACGCACATGATTTGGGGATATTTTGTTTCTCCTAAATAAGATATTATGCGTAATTACTAAATATTACAATATTATTCTCAACAATGTTTTAGCGTGTTGATACTCTTAATGAATTTGATTATATCGATTGTCTTTCCTTTTTCATTTAGTTATGTTTATAATAGGGCTTCCATGATTCAATCGACTAAAAGTGTTGAACAACAAGAGTTCGACTACTAAAGGTGTCCAAATGTGTGAGCAAGGGCTTGATCAATGAGGATGTTGATCTTAAGACAACAAATGATTTAGCCATCAAGGGTGTCGAACTATAGGCCAGAGTTTGGTGATTGAAGGTGCACAATTGTAACCAAGGACTCAATTATTCAGTATATAGCCAAGGGTTCGATCATCGAGAAGGTCGAATTATGACCAAGGTCTTGACTATTTGCTTCGGTCATTGTGGGTGCCAAATTCTGACCAAGGGGTTTGATGGCCAAGTATGTTGAACACTTATATCTTTTATCCTAAACATCGTTTCTCAATTGGTCCTACGATTTCCAGTATTTTGCCAACCGGATCCCTATTTGATATACAAAAAAATAATCAATATGTCATGACCATGACAGTTGAAAATTCATTATGGCTAGTGGCTACAATTAATTCAAAGTCAACATCAATTATCTAATGATGTGTTTGATAGAGAAGAAAGAAATAAATAAGAAATAGAGAAGAGAGAAATAAGTGAATGAAAATAGGTAATAAATAGAGTAAAAATTTGGTTATTTGATTGAAGAGAAATATGTGAGAAATAAAATATATATTAAAAAAAGAAATAAATAAATAAATATAAACAAATAAAATAGAGTAAAAAAGGAAAATAAAAAATAAATATTTTTAAAATGAATTTTTATTAATTATTTTTATTTTAATCAATTAAATAAAAAAATAATATAACTGAATAAATAATATTTTGAAATAAAATATATAACTAATTAAAATTAAGTAATTAATTTTTAATTAAAAATAATGAAAATAATAAATTTAAATTAATTAAATTTAAAGTAGATAAACATATTTGAATATAATATAAAAAGTTTTATAATAGAATAAAAAGAATTTGTAGTCGAATAGAAGTTTCTTATTGGAATAAAAGTTTGGTAATCGAATAAAAATCGAATTCGTAAACAATAAAATGTATTCAAATAGCATTTTTATTTATTCGAATAATATTTTTGACAGTTTTAAACCACAAATATTTTCTTAAGAAATTTAAAATAAAAAAATAAAAAAAGAAGAAGAAATAATTGTAACGGTTTTTGACTGCCAAAATTTTTAAAAAAAATTAATTAATATATTTTCTAACAGTTTTAAAATTGCTTTCAATAAAAAAATATCTCTAAGTAGATGACATAAAAATTTAACATTTCCAGAGGTTGTGCCTCTAACAGGTTTGAAATCCCAAACTCATTGAGAATGCATACCATTGGGGTCATCAACACCACCAGGAGGTTCTTTGTGAAATGCATACCATTGCATCTTTCCAGCGCCAACATCTGTAGCCACGAAGTATTGCTTGTGTCCCAAGAATACTCGGTATCTTCCAACAGATAACTTCAAGTAAGCTTCTCAACTCAATATAAGTAATATTAACAAAATATAATCATAATCCATGGAAAATACATGAATAATAGTCAACATACCCAACAGTTTCAATGTCAGCAGGCACAAAATCTACAATGCCAGTATAACAAGTATAGCCAGAGTAAACAGCTTCCGAGGGCCCGAATAACTGCTTCCTCACCTATTCTTAACAAAAATTACAATAAGGTGAAATGCAGAATTTATGATTATATCATATGAACCACTTACAGACACAATGATTGAAATAATTCACTACTTCACAATGATAGAACAAGTTTAACACACACATAAACTCCACTGTACCTGTCATGTTTAAGTGTGACATTTACTTTAATATGGGAAAAACTTATTTGCTAAAGAATAAGATAGTAATCAGAGAAGAGTTAATAAGACCTTGGACCATATACCATCTGCTCCAACCAACATATCTCCTTCAAATTTCTGACCATTCTCAAGCTCTACTGTTACCTGAAATTGTGAAATGCTGGATGAGAAATTATTAAACGTCAATATATGATATTTTAATCATATTAGCCTGCCAAAGCATATTCAATATATAAGAAATAAAAGCTTCACAATGAGAATATTAAACAATCAAGAAGCTTTCTCTAATTACCTTGTTTCCATCGTCCACAAAATTAACAACATTACTGGCATTCTTAATGACATCTTCCCCAACTGCGCGAGCTAGAATCTCTTGTAAAACTATTCGACTAATAATTCTCGTGACTGGAAGTCCACGTTCCACTGCAGGTGTGAATGTATCGAGCTTGACAAACCTGATGTCACGCCACTACTATTGTTAGATGGCATTTTTTGTAACAGTCGTGTGTTGGGATACAAACAAATTCCGCATCAATAAAATAAGAGAAAAAATAACAACTTATAAAATACACGCATACTCCAATAATTGAGAAGTCTTTTTGATAATGATCAAAAGCAAAATCCTGAGGAGTTAGTCCTAAACCGGATAATATCCTATTATTATCAAATTGTGTGTAAAAATAATTCTTATAAAATATTTCTTCAAACAAATACCATAAAATAATTCCATAAATGGTTAGGTCAATAACAACTTATAAAAAACAAATATACTCCAATGATTGAGAGGCCTTGCGGACAATATCTCATCATTTTAAAGTTGTATGTAAAAATAACTCTTATAAAATATCCCCTCAAACAAATATCATAAAATAATCCCATTATCGTGATATGGAAATTTGTCTATTCAAACTTGCATGTAGTAGAATACTTCTCTAATCAGAATTTTAATTTCATTACATGTTATCAAAATTAAACTAATTTTTATCATAATAAAGCACAAGGAGTACCATATTATATCTTTGTTTTGTCCTTAAACCAATTAGTCACAATAGCATTCATTATAAGCTTTTGGCTAACTTGGTTTTACCACACAAATCCTAAATACGTGTTAAGATATTTTAAAATAAGAGTTAATCACTTATATACTATTAATATAAAATTTTACAGTGATATAACACAATTAAATGATATAATTGATTGCTAGTGTAAAAAAATTTTACACTAACAATATATAGATGATTAACTCTTAAAACAATTCATAAGAATATCACAATTGCGTACTTTAAGAGAGAACAAGAATAAAAGAAAGACACTTAAATTACCGAATGAAACAAGTACTTAAGCTTTTAACTTACCAAGAACCAGAAACCCCATCTACAAGTCCATTGATTCTATTACCCGTGATACAACCAGCTCTCATAACTTCCTCAGCAACCTCTAAATCTATAGCTTCCAAAGAAGCCAAAGCATTGCTCATAATCTGAATTGGACCCCTGTATTGTCCCTCTCCTCTTACAGCACTCAAATCCTTCTCAAACACCACTACCTCAAACCCTTTTCTCTTTGCAGCCAAAGCAAAAACCAACCCTCCAATCCCTCCACCAGCCACAAGTATCCGAAGCTGCTTCTTCAAAGGGGTTCTATTCCCACCTTGTGATGAGGGTGAAACAGCAGGAGGATCCTCTACCACTGCACCTTTCACATGCATCACTTTCTTCCTCTGCTTCCTTGTTCTGCATCCCAGGCCACAGTTATAGCCAACAAAAGGTGAAGCATCAAGTGGAAGCCCTTTGTTCACGGGAACTGAGAAACGGGTTCTTGAGAAAGCTGGTGTGGATGGGTTAAGAGAACTGTAATACATGGTAGAAGCCATGGTTGTTGTTCTTGTTGCGTGTGTCCAAGAAAATGTATTGTGATCCATCAAGGTGTTAATACCACCATTTTCAATCGTTGAGTGTTTTCTGAAACTTGTATTGTGATCCTTTCATATCAGCATTTTTCCATTACGTATGGAAAATTATCTTTCCGTATTAGGAACTAAATCAAGCTAAGAAATATAGAAGAGGAAGCTAAAGAACTGATTAGTTGTGCCGCATTTTTGGACCGCTAAAACATTCTTTAAAAATAGAAATTGGAAGGCTACACGATACGACACTAATTAGTAATTCGGGAACATGTGTTCACTGCACCATTTTATCAAGTTGCAATATAGCCACCTGTTAAGATAGGTTTTTATTAATATTTTAGTCGGTATGACATAGTCTTTGTGTGGGAAATTTAAACGTATCAGCCACTGCATTGAATATATACATTGAACACTAGATAGTTCAAAGATAATTGGATGTAAAAATAATACTAGTTTTCTTTATTTAAAAGCTGATCCATGCAGCAGACTGCAGAGTCGGTATTGTACAGTACATTTCTGATGAAAAAATTAACCTCGTGCGGCATGGAAGGAGGAGCACCACAACGTATTGGACTTATAGATTGAAGATTAGATATTAACGCTTCGATTGTTACAATTGAAATAGGGAAGGAATGGTAAACATAGATAAAATAATGAAGAAGAATTTTTTTAATTATTTAGTATCGAAGAAATTTATCAGAAAAAAAAGTATAAAAAAAATTGTGGGATTTATATATATATATATATATATATATATATATATATATATATATATTTGCAAATAGAAAAAGTTTGTTTAATAAATTATTTTTATCAAACACAATACTTAAATTCAAGAATTTGAAATTTAAAGACCAATCAAATTATCAATAAGTTTAATAAATATTGATAATTCTTAAACATTTTTATTAAATAAAATATAAATATATCGAATGATTCCATTTTACTAGTCTTAATAAAATCATTATTTACATGATTTTTTTATTTATTTAAATAAATAAAAAAATTATTCAAATTTTTTTTATAAAAAAATTATAACATTTCAAATTTTCTAAAATTGTTAAAAGGATATTTTTGATTAATTAAAATATTTTAAAAGACATATTAGAGACTTTAAATAATTATAAATATTTTAATTAAATAATAAATATTTAAAAAATTATTTTATATAATATTTATTGGAAAAATATGTATTTTTATGATATTTATTTATAATAAATATTTGGAGATAAATATATGTTTTTATTATAATTTTATTGTTTATATATTTTATTTTAATTATAACTGTTAGACTATATATATATATATATGTATGTATTATATTTATTAATTATTATATTGTTATAATTAATTAATTATCAAACCATTAAACATATTTATCGCCGCTTCTCATTTTTTCCACACATTTCGCATTAACCAAATACAGTGTGTTGGAGCAATTTTTGTCTCTCCCTCATTTTTCTTTTCCTGTGTGTGGATTTGATTGTTGTCCCACTAACAACAATGGTATATATCAATTATCAAAGCTTGCCAGTCACACGAGTGAAAAGATATTATCGAAATAAGTAAGGAAAGAGAATGTTCTCACCTTATAAAAGATATATAAAGTTGATATAATTTCAAGAGAGATATGTAACTAAGTTACAATATTATTTGTTAGTCCAATCTCAAAATAAATAGAAAGTTAAAAATTAATTATTAGGAAACTTTAATTAACCACAATTAAAGTTACAATGAAACAACGTTAACGTACGTAAAAAACAGAGTAGTAGTCGTCGCTATAATTTATTATGGAAAGACAACAGAAAAATCAGGAATCATCTCAAACCAATAAAATAAGTAATGTATTAGCATCATATGACGTTGGTCATGTTTATTTAAATGTGTAAAATTAGTATAACTTTACCATTAAAACAAGTAAAAAAAATTATTTATTTTAAAAGGAAATTTTAATACTAATTATATTTTTATTGTTACAAAAAGGAGGATTATTATTATATTTATTTATTTAAAATCAACAAGTATAGAACCTTACTCTTCCGTTGTGTTGATATTTTTTAATTATGTTTTATATTTACTTTTTTTTGTGAGATTCTTTTATTATATAACTTTATTACACAGGATATAAGATAGTAGATCAACTATACACATATTCATGAGTCACACAAGAGAAGGCAATGTTAACTACACATCTATATTAGTGTAAATATCGTATAAAATAATGTATTTTAAAGTTGAGAAGAGACTTTTAAACATGGGAAATTAAATAAATTCTAATGACTCCTAATATATCCAACTCTACCAAATGCCATTACAAGTATTGTAGTGGGGCAACAATTTTTATACCGAAGAATCCCTCAAAAAGTCCACATAGGCATGTAACGTGATCAGATCCTAAATGACTGGACTGTTGTATGATACCCCATCCTAAAATATTGCAGATATTACTCTACAACTTCAAATTTTTGTTGTGCAACTTTTCCATGTCTTGCAAAATGTAACTAGACAGAAACAGTCATACTTCCTGCAAAGTTCGTGTCCTTTCCTTCTCTAAGTCACTTGGAACAGATCTTGTCACCTTAACACGAAATGAAACCTGCACATAATTTGGATTCTTAGACATCAAAGTAATCATTCAAAATAAAATTTCGCATTTGTAGTATTTGAAGGACTAAAAATGTTTAATTAAAATTTGAAGAACTAAAATCAAACATCTACAATACTTGAAGAACAAAAACGCTTTTAAACTTTAATACTTTTATTTTAAATAATTATGAGATAAAATTATATATAAGTAACACTACTCAATGAGATTAAATTTAAACCATCCAACTATTAATGTGCAATTTGTATATTTAAACCATCCAACTATTAATGTGCAATTTGTATAGGTTGTGAATCTCATTATTCAATCAAACAAATGTAAAGTCTTTGTCATATGTTGACCAATGGTATCTCATGTACCGATATAAGTTCTAGAAGGTGCAAATGTGTAATATGACTACTGCAACTACTTTTTATCTAACCTTCTCAGAACCAATCTGAATAACATCAGATGGGCGGATGCGAGCAGGATAATTAGGAGGTACCCGATACTGCTTGCCTTCATTACTGAAAACATGATGAGAATGATACTAAATAGATTTGTAAAATACTTGAAGCTTTTTTAAAATAAAATGAGGTACCTTCCATTTCTTTTACTTACTCAATGATCCATGTGCCATGCTGACTCCGCAAATCAGTCAAGAAGAAGGCACCATCCTTATAGTTAATTCGAGCATGCCTTGGAGAAACCTTAAAAAGAGAAAGTATTGATTATGGTGCATGATTTTGAAGCACATCAAGTGTGAAATCGTGTTTGATTCAAGTCAAGATAAATTGTGTTACCTGGGGTGAAGGTATTGTAATTGAATCGCCTTCATGATCTTGCAGTGGTTCACTCCTGCAATTACAAAAGCATGTAAGAAAATAGGTTGAAAGTGAAAAATACATTACCAGGTGTATAGCAGCAAGCATACCCAATTATGCAGGGTCTCATGTCATTTCGACTTAAAGATATAGGCTTTGAAAGATTTGTTCCATCTCCATGTGGTAATAAATTCCACCTATAATTGGAAACAAGAAGGATGGACATAATAGTTATGAGATTTATATTAGTTATAAGAAATATGTAAAGGATGATACTTATAAATATATAAATATTTACTCAGAGACATACTCTCCATTAATAGCACGCTCAAGTGCTTCATCATCTTCAAACCATATGCGTAACTGATCATTTGCCTTCATAAATAATCAAACAGCTATCAGCATCCAGATCACAACAAATCTAACAGATGTGAACATATAAATTACCAGATATACAATATCTTCTCAGCAACAAAGTACAAAAGTAACATTATTTGTGCAACGTACTTTGTCTGTAAGTCTGCAACTTAGTGGTCTACCCTCAAGTTTGGAGCTGCAAAAGTAGCATCATTTTTCATGTTGTAAGTAATCAAATTGCACAACTTTACACAATTACACCTGATGATACATTATATTTCTGTCATATTGGACATAAGTAAAAACTAAACATTGTTATCAATATTGTCAATTTCTTGAACTTCCCATCATTTATCCATTGACCCAGATTTCTAACTGAATGTTGAATCAGAAGACCGGATTAAGAAAAATAAAAGTCTATAAGCAAAGCAAAGTGGGCTCTAATCATTACCTATTGCCACCTAAGACCCAACTCAACATAGAAGGCATCATTATGTCAACAAAAAACCTTCCTCCAACTCTTCCGGGATGTGGTATGCGAAACTTAGTCAAAAACTGTAGAGTAAGGGAAGCAATAATGAAACTTTTGCATTTTAGTCTTTCAAATTGAAGTGTCAACTTGTTTTTTTCATTCTCTTATTTAGAAAATTGAAGTTCTTACCTCTAAAGGGCCAAGACCAACACCTAGATATGCCTTGTAAGTGGAAGCCATGAGAGCTGCCATTCTAGCCATTCCATGAATAATGGCAACTCGTAGCCTTCTTTCTCTCTCATAGCTAGAAGCATTAATGGAAAAAGGGAGGAAAAAATGAGCACCATTAACCACCAAAGAGATTTCTCATCAATTTTACCAATTTGAAAATGATGAAACATTAAGTATTGGATCATGATTGATATGAGAAGCCATCTATATTTTCAAATCAAGTCAATAATATCATCATTTGTTTTTGCATAAATGCAAAATGGTATCTTACCTCCTTAGGGAAGAATCAACATCAATTGGACTCCTTGATTTAATACTTTGTTCCCATGCATTGTCTAACTCCCATGCAAGTTGATAGCTGTCCTGAATTGACAAAACAAGCTTGTCAGAAAGGTTTTTTGCCTCACTTTTTGAGTGCTTCATCAAGTACGAGTCCCCTTTAAGGCTCAAACAAGAGATGTATATCCATCTCCATCTCCTCTTAAATAGGTTATATTTTAATTTTATGCATGTTACTGTGAGTGGTGTATATCCATCATAGTCATGGAAATACAACAGTTTATTTGAAAGGCTCGCCAAGAAAAGAACCAAGAAAAAAGTCTGATACCCGAAGTCTAGAAAATCAGTTATAACTTAAGAATATTAAAGTATGAATTGTTAGGTCCAGAGTAGGCTTAATAGTTACTCACAGCTTGTTAAAGTGATTTTTATGCCTTTGATGAGTGGAATGTGATATTGATATTAATCTATCTATGCTATGTACATATGCATGTCCTATTTGTGTTTGGTTATCCGGTGTGTATTCCTATACTATGAGCCAGAGTGAGATGTTTCGGACTCCCTTTTCTTTTGTGTTGTTTTCCTTTGACTATTATACAAGTGATTATCAGCATGAGGCTGAGGATGTTGGTGAGAAGCTTCGGCTTCAATGTTGAGCTTTGCTCTGATAGGACATGTGAAATCAGGATTTAGATAGGATTAGATTAGTATGTTGTTCTTATTATTTTTAAAACTTTAGTATTATTTCTTTGTAATTTTCGCTGATTTAGTTAATTGTTTAAATCATGGATGTGGTACTTTCTATCTAAAAATATTTGGTATTTTAATTATGAAAGATTGTGTTATTCTAATTTTATTATTTATGTGTTATGGTATGCAGGGTAGAGGGTGTCACACCATGCAAATAATATTAGATGGTAAAATCATGAAAATAAAATAATAGCACCAATTTTAAACCTCACAATTAATGTGGTATACTTTATTACATGGACTTTCTTCAAATTATGTTTGTTTTGACAGAATTAAGAGGGAATGATTTTAGCGAAAGACAATCTGAAAAAAATAATTAGGACCTCGTTTATTTAGAGAAAACATTTTATATTTTATTATTTTGTTTTAATTTTTAATTGCAAATTTGTTAGTTTGTTTTCAATTTGTTTCTTATTTTCAAATGTTTTTACATAAAATACTGAAAGTATCTTCTTTTTATTTTTTGTTTCCTATACAAATCTTTGTAAACATGGAATAGATAAAAAAAAATGTGTTAGTTTTGTAACTAAAAGTAAAATTAGAAAATAAACAGGGAACGAAAAAATAAGTAAATAAACACCAAATTATTTGTTTGGGTAACAATAAGAAGGAAGATGTCTATTAAAATTTGGCACCCACCAAAACACAATTCACAAAGGTGTAATTTGGAAGTCAAACTTAATTACATAAGTTAATTGATATCATTGTTTTGCATTTTTCCTGTGTACCTTTATACCTTTTTTGTATAATAATTATGATTCTATTAAAACTAATTTCATCTTAAATTAGTGATCTTTAGTCAACAATATTAATTGTTTTGTCCTTTCACATGTAGAAAAATGCTAGAGACAATTTATATATATATATATATATATAAAACTTTTGAAAATACTCTTTCTTACGTCTTATTTAATTAACTTCTATTTATTTTTTAATTTTTAATAAATTTTAATTAATAAAAGAGTTTGTTTGTAGCATTTGTGCCACATCATCAACCCGATGACTCCCTCTCACGCAGAGCCTATGTTGTAGCTGGTTTTATTGAGAAGCTTGATGCAAAGGATAATAATGAGTTACAAGAAATAAAAAGATACTAAAAACTTACCTTAACAAAGACTTGAACCATGCTCTTCTGGTTAGGAAAAGTCACCTTAACTACTTGAGCAGAGCAACATTTTGATGGATGCATGAGAAGTTTAAGTATTATATAGATTTTCAATATAAAATTTAATTCATTTAATAAATATGATTCATGTAATTTCATGTAATTTAACTAGTGACTTACTATTGATTTTATCTAAAAACAAACAAACTAATTACAATACCTTAATCGAGTCAATGACCAATTCAATTTTAATAACATTAGTTTGTAGCATACCTTACAAATATAAGATATATATAAACTTTTTATTTTTTTATTTTTATTTTTATTTTTCTGAATGTTAGCTTCACCATAAATAAAATTTAATAAAATTAATATTTATAATAAACTCTATGAATACTTTTCTTCTCTTTTTTTTAATCAATCAAACATGTTTTGATATACTTATTCAAAATAAAAGTAAAGTTGTTTTTTAACATTATTATTTAATTTTTTCCTTTTACTTTCTCGCTAAACTAAACAATTAAAAATTAATCATTTTATTTCACTACTTCTCAATTCTATCAATCCAAATTATACAAATTTAAGGTTCAAAATGTCTTCTTTTTGAATCCATTTCTTTTCAAGGATTATTTTTGTACCTTTATTTATTTATACACTCTTATTTTTATATTTTAGAAACAAAATTTGAATTATAAAAAATAGGTGTATAAATAAAAGGATGGTGCAAATAGAAAGTCACTTTCATTTTCTTCCTTTTACGTGGGCTTCCTTCAAAGTCTATCCCAATAGGAGGTCGCTTTTTAAATTTTCAAAAAATAAATGAGTAAAAAATGATACTTATATATCAATTTAGACTAGAAGAAAAGATAAAACAGAATATAGAGAAGAGAGGAAATATAAATTTTCATTCACTTGATGAAAAATTATAAGATATATAATTCAATTTAAAATAATATATTAAAATAAAAATTAAATAGAAATTATAAAATAAATTATATATGTATACTATATACACACACTCAATTTATATATTAGATATATGATATAAAATAATATGTATATATATATATATATATGTGTGTCGTAACCGAAATTACAACGAGAATGACATGGTTATGATTTTAATGGAGTTGTCACCAATATTTTGTTTTAAGGAAAAAATATTGAAAAATTCTTTAAGAAAAAAAATGGTATTTGAAACTAGAGTTGAGTTTGGGAGTTAATTACAACGCCTATAAAAAAAATTTATCTTCTAATTGATCGCGCAAAATTAACTTTATAAATATTTATTTTGCCCCTTAGAAAGAAATATTTTTATTTTTTTATAATGACTTTTTTTGGAAAAGACTTATGTTTTGTATTTTTCTTATAAAAAGGATTTGGATAAGAATTTAAGCTAGCAAATGGCTAGCCATTAAATTCTCAAGTTTGATAACATTAAAGATAAAATTTTCTATTCAATTAATGTTATCAATAATGACCATGGTTGATTTCGTAAAAAAATTATTTTATTTTATGTGTAAAAGTTTATGATAGCAAATGACTATTCTATAAACTTTGATGATTCTCGTGATATTAAAGGTAGAAATACTACTCAATTAATATCATAAACTATTGCATACAAGAAAATAATTTATATATGAAATAAACCTTTTATTTTTAATTAAAATGAAAAAACTTGTATAATATAAGAATTTAAAGCTCGCAAGTGGCTTGTTATTAAATTAAAATGAGAAAACTTACATAAGAATTTAAGCTAGTAAGTAGCTAATTATTAAACTCTCATCACCAAATAGTATTGATAATAAAATGTTATTTTATTGACACTATTTATTACTGCACATTAGAATAATTTTTAAAGAAACTTTCATGTACTAAGAAAAGCATTTTAATTTATACATAGTTCATAGTAACAAATGATTATTTTATAATTTTGCACAAGTTTAAGGGATCTTAATAGTAGAATTATTACTCATTTAATATTACCAATCACTATATGAAATCCAATTTAAAATCCAAATAACCATAAGTTTTTTATACGCAACCTCTTTAATTTCATCATGCTTTTGTGAAAAAATAAATAAACAAACTAACTAAAAAAAGGAGAATAAGCTAAAAAGTTGCATGCATAAACGTCACAAGTTGCAACCCAAAGCTAATTGCCTAATTCTACAAGATATATGAAATGATAAGCTATTCACACAGGGCTACGTATGAATCAAATGAGATTCTAAACTTGCATTTTAATATTTCATTTATATCACATGAAAGAAAAGGAACAAAACAACCATGTGGAACCTCTGACAGACATCTACATCAAATAATAACTAAAAGAAACATTAGAAATGAATAGAAACAAGAAGTTATACTTATCAAGACCTTGATCTATGCACGAGAGAAGATAATAAAAGACTTGCTCCAATGTTGTGACGCGACGTATACTATGCCTGACACACTTCGTAGGTATTTCTCAAAGAAAGTTTTTGCATTCACTTTCCAGAATAGCTACTGGAGATAAAAAAGTCCCTTCTAATGCAAATTGAATATTTGGAAAATGAAATCCTTGTGTATCAAGAAGGTTATATAGATGCTTAAAAGGTTTTATATGGATAAATTATATTTATTGTGCACTCTTATGGTTGTAAGATCTTTAGATGTTAACAAAGATCTATTTAGACCCCAAGAAAAAGATGAAGAAATACTTGGTCCTGAAGTATCATATCTCAGTGTTATAGGAGCACTAATGTATCTTGCTAATTATACATGACCTGATATAGCATTTACTGTTAATTTGTTAGCAAGATATAGTTCTTCACTTACAGGAAGACATTGGAATGGAGTTAAACAAATCCTTTGTTATCTTAGAGGTACAATGGATATGAGGTTATTATATTCAAATGTCCTCGAACTAGAATTAAATGGTTATGCAGACGTAAGTTATTTGTTAGAACCTCATAATGGTAAATTACAAACATGATATTTGTTTACAATTGGTGGTATAATCATTTCATGGCGATCTGTAAAACAAACCATATCAGCCATTTCATCTAATCATACTGAAATTTTAACATTACATGAGGCAAGTCGTGAATGTATTTGACTAAGATTTGTGATTCAACATGTACGAGAAACTTGTGATTTATCTTCTGGAAAAATGACATTGACAGTTATATATGAAGATAATGTTGCATGTATTACATAGTTGAAAGATGAATACATAAAGGGAGAT